GCCTCAGTGATATCACATCAGTTGTCTCAAGTGGATGTTGAGGGTGTGCAGGTAGACAAGGCCCCTTTTGAAAATGGTTATTCTCCTTTTATGTCAAAAGGATTGGTGTCCTTAGTGGGTGATAGGTCTGTCTCAAAACCTGTAGATATCCTGAGAGATACTGGAGCCCTCCAGACTCTTATGCTAGAAGATTATCTACCATTTTCTGAGAAAACGTACACAGGAACCAGTGTCCTAATGCGGGGAATTGGGGGTTACATTAAGGTACCACTTCATGACGTCCATTTGAAGTCAGATTTAGTGACAGGATCTGTTAGGGTTGGCATCATGTCAACGTTGCCAGTACCAGGTGTATCACTTATCATGGGCAATGATATTGCAGAAGATAAGGTTGTAGCTGATCTACCTAAGGTTAGTGAGATACCATGTGCCAAGCAGGAGGAGAGAGACAAGATAAGAGTATACCCTTCTTGTGCAGTTACTAGGGCTATGACGCAACAGAAAGCAAAGTCAAAAGAAAAGTCTGACATTCCTAGATGCAGGGAAATTGATTTATCTGAGACTTTTATCAGTCATCTTGATGAAGGTGAGGAAGTGACACCTTCCAATGTTAGAAATGGGGATGAAACTGATAAAGGGGACAGATGTGTTTCTAAAGGGAGTACACCTATTGTTGATAAGTTCACATTTTCTGAGGAACCAATTAGTGATGCTTCAAGGGAGAAACTTATTGAAGAACAGAAGATGAATCCAGAACTTAGGTTACTAAGAGACAAAGCTGTTTCTGAGAAAGATAGTCATAGGGAGGCAGTATGCTATTACCTTAAATCAGGTGTTTTGATGAGGAAGTGGAGACCTCCAGATAGTTCAGCAGATGAGGAATGGAACATACTGCACCAGATTGTCATTCCACCAGTGTATAGACATGAGATTCTTAGCCTAGGGCATGATACTTTACTTGCAGGACACTTAGGGGTTAACAAGACCTATCAAAAGATCGTAACTCATTTCTATTGGCCAAGGAATTCAGAATGATGTCAGGAAATTCTGTAGAACATGTCACACGTGTCAAATGGTCGGTAAACCTAACCAGAAGATAACAAAATACCCCTTGCAACCTATTCCAACGGTTGAAGAACCATTCAGCAGGGTCATAATAGATTGTGTTGGACCCCTCCCTCGCACACGGACAGGAAATGTCTATTTGTTGACAATAATGTGTGCATCTACACGTTTTCCTGAAGCTATTCCTTTAAGGAACATTAAGACTCCTGCCATTGTCAAAGCGTTGATTAAGTTCTTCACTCTAGTAGGGTTGCCAAAGTCCATCCAGTCAGATCAGGGATCTAACTTTATGTCTGGGATATTTCAGCAGGTTATGAATGAGTTAGGTATCACTCAGTATAGTTCAAGTGCCTATCATCCTGAGTCACAGGGTGCTCTTGGCGATTTCATCAAGCAGCTAAAGAATATGCTTAAGGCTTATTGTGAAGACAATCAGAAAGACTGGACTGAAGGGATTCCATACATGTTGTTTGCAGCTAGGGAATCAGTACAAGAATCACTGGGTTTCAGTCCTTTTGAGTTAGTATTTGGACGTACAGTTCGGGGACCATTAAAGTACCTGAAGGAGAAGTGGCTAGATGAGGATACAGAAATGAGTCTGCTTGATTACGTTTCAAACTTCAAAGAGAGGTTTACTAAGGCTTGTAGCATTGCAAAACAAAACCTGCAGGATAGTCAAGAGAAGATGAAAACCTGGTATGATACAAAAGCAGAACATAGAGAGTTTGTGGCAGGTGACAAAGTACTCATCCTTCTGCCAATACCAGGACATCCATTTAGAGCTAGGTTCTATGGCCCATATCTTGTACACAGTGACACAGATTATGAAATAGAAACTCCAGATCGGAGGAAGGCCAAAAGAGTTTGTCATATCAATATGATGAAACCATACTATGATAGGTATGCTGAAACTGTACCAAAGACTGTGAGTGTTAGCACAATAGACACAGTAGAAATAACTGAGAATGATACATTGGCTAGAGACCCTTGTACAAAGAGCAAAGAACCTGATGTGAAGCTTAATAACTCTGATGTCTTAAGCAATCTAGATTCTAAGTTAGCACATGTGACTCATGAACAGAAGATAGAACTGGAGGAGTTAATTCACGAGTACTCACATTTATTTCCAGATGTACCATCTAGGACAGATTGCATCTATCATGATATAGATGTAGGGGAGTCAACTCCTGTTAAGCAACATGCTTATCGTATGAACCCAATCAAATTAGCTCAGCTTAGAACTGAGATTCAATACATGTTGGACAATAACATCATCGAACCCAGCAATAGCTCTTGGAGTTCTCAATGTATACTTGTACCTAAGGCTGGAGGAGGTGTTCGACTATGCAATAATTACAAACGAGTCAATGCTCTCTCCAAATCTGATTCCTATCCAATGCCTAGAATAGATGATTGTATTGATAGGATAGGAAAAGCTAGATATGTAAGCAAATTTGATTTATTGAAGGGATACTGGCAGATCCCGTTAACAGATAGGGCAAAACAAGTATCAGCATTGGTTACCCCAGAAGGCTTATATCAATATAATGTGATGCCTTTTGGATTGAAAAATGCACCAGCTACCTTTCAAAGACTTATCAACTCCATCACAGGAAGAATTGACCAGTGTGATGCATACATTGATGACGTCATCGTGGCTACTGATGAGTGGGATGATCAGATCAAGACCATTCGGATGTTGTTTGACTCTGTAACACAAGCCAAACTCACTATCAACTTGACCAAGAGTGAATTTGTGAAAGCCACAGTAACTTATTTAGGTCATGTTGTGGGACAAGGTGAAGTTAAACCAGTACAGGCCAAAATACAAGCTGTGAACATGTATCCAGAACCTACAAACAGGAAAGAATTGATGAGATTCTTAGGAATGGCTGGATATTATCGCCGTTTTTGCCAGAACTTTTCCCAAGTAGCAGCACCACTGACCAACCTACTGAAGAAAGACTGCAAATTTATCTGGGAAGAATGTCAACGGCAGGCATTTGAGAAAATCAAAGCTATTCTGACTAATGCGCCTGTGCTAGTAGTGCCTGACTTCAACAAAGCCTTCAAGCTCTGTGTTGATGCATGTGACATAGGAGCAGGAGCAGTGTTACAACAAGAAGACACTTTGGGGATAGATCATCCCATCTGCTACTTCAGCAAGAAATTTGACAGTCATCAAAAACACTACTCTACAATAGAGAAGGAGACATTGGCACTAATACTAGCTCTCCAACACTTCGAAGTGTATCTGAGCACTTCTGGTGACACCAATTCTAGTGTTCACGGACCACAATCCACTTGTGTTTGTGAAAAAGCTCAAGAACAAAAATCAGCGATTAATGCGTTGGAGTATACAGCTGGAAGATTTTGACCTTGACATTCATCATATCAAGGGAAAAGACAATATATTGGCTGATGCTCTTTCACGGGCAATGTAGCTTGGGACATTAAGTCATGATTACCTTGACTGTATGAACTGTAATCCAAAGCCTGTTTCAAAATGACAAATGAGACATCTTGAATGTGCAGACATCATGTGAATGTGTTTATGACAGATGTTGTACATAGTTTTACACTGAAGTTTTTCAACATGCAAAACTTCTTTTTCAAGAGGGGGAATGTTATGAGAATGTCTTATATATCTATACATAATTCTGTATATATATTTATAAATCTGAAGTCATTCTAAAATATATTTACATTCCCTAAAATACCTGTTCACCTTAATTGAGAAGCTATGCTTACCAGTGACCACTCTCCATTGTCTATAAGTAAGCTGGGGTAATGAAACAACGATGTTATATAATTGTAGCTTGGGTTTTTGACTTGTTCAAGCAAGGTAACAAAAAGGTGATGAGTGCCCAGGTCGGGAGTGAACTGAATGGATTGGCCATGTCGGCAAGTTTAAACTGTCTACTTGAATATGCCATGTCGGCATAGTGAGATTTCATGTGAAGGATTATATGTGATATTATTCTGAGGAATGTGATGGAGCAGGAACAATTGTATATCCGTGTGATAACCAAAGTAAGACTTTTAACATATACCATGATACTTGTTTTGAACATTTGTATATATGTATAGACTGCCAGTATTAAAACTATTTTAAATTGTTGTGTGATCTCTCCACTCGTAACAAATGGTTACTCACATATACTGTGATTCAATCTCAAGGTAAAAGAATATTACCAAGTGGACAGATTTCAATAACTGTTCTTTCACAATATATTGCAATACGTATCGCAATACAGAAGAATGTATCGCAATATATTGCAATACGAAATTTGGGGCAATACACAGCCCTAATAGACAGGGAAGATACTGAGATGTGTAGACACCATACGGAATTACCGTAATGTCAGCCCCTGTGTTGATCTTGAATTCTTCTGAGGCAGACAAATTTATCTTCGGATATCTCGATATAATTTCATGCTCCCAACAAGCAAAATTACCCTTTTAACTTGATATTCACTTTCATGGGCAAGTATCCCTCTGAACTGAGGTTGTTTCCACATGTTTACACACGGTGCGGCATGAATCAAAGGGATGCGGTAGTGTAAACTAATTAGGGCTAACTAATTGAGTTGAAGGTGTCACTTGTTTGTTATTTAATTAGGATTAATTAAGAAGTACTCACTGTTACGACTAAACACTACTGAAAACGGATTATAGTTTCGAATCAAAACATACTGAGAAGCGTTTTGTTTTCTTTCACAGTGATATGCGATAGTATGCCCTGGTCAGATGTCAAAGTTCGGAAAACTCGATATTTTTTCTTGGTCCCATGAATATCGAGACAATGGTACTAGACTGTAAATAAAAATTTACATGGCAAATACATTGGAATACCAGTACTCGGAGATTTGAATTGTCATTTCATTATCATTGATATTTCCAAGTTCAGCTATCAAGAGCAAGCTGTTTATCTTTAATTACCGTTTACTGTGGTTTCCTTTGGTTCCAAGAACTGTAGTTGCTAAGACTGCAGTGTTACCAACAAGAGAGCGTCCTGGTTCCAAGATCAGTGTTATGTCATGGTCCTTCAATGCTGACTGAATAGATTCCACCATATCTCCAGGAGTTGGAACCTTGCATGTGAAACAGTAACAGTTTTAGCAAAGTATATTGGTGTTTGTATTTTGAGTGAAGCACAATTAAAATGGAAATAGACAAGCATGCAACGTTCTTGATGATGATGATGATGATTTTGAGATTTAACGTGCACTTTCTGACATAATGGATATTTCACACACATGAATGTTCTCTATTAAACACCGTTAATCCATATATTGTTTCTCTAAAAAATACAGAGAAAGTGAATGTAAATTTTGATGATAATTACTTTATTAAAGTATGGATATGTTATTCATTTACTTTGTACATAAATTGTTCTAAAAATAAAAACATAACATTTCGAATTTCTTTCAATGGGTTTTTATAAGGCTTTTGTTACCCACAAAACTGATAGTAAATTATAAATTAAATGCATCATGGGCAGTATTACAACCACATCTGAAGATCAAAGTGAGCGAGTTCAAATTTAGCATGGCAAAATAGTAACAACTCAATTAAAAGAGTAAATAAGGAAAGTTTGCTTCTCCACAACACACATCTCCAAATCATGTACACTGAAAACATCCAAACAATACATCTTATCATGGTGGTCCTATTACTCATGTTAGTGTAAAAGCTAAAACCTAGCAGCTTAGGCAAACAGAGGTTTCCTACTCCAATGTCCACAATTAATGTAAATATAGAAATAGTATTTTCTCACTTTGTATGACCACGTATGTGTCCCCAAAACAAGATCAAAGGTTGGAGTCATTGTTTTAGCTGTTAACCTGTGAATATTTATCAATAAGGTATATGTCTTGCTGTAGGAATTCAACTTTAAACTGTCTACAGCATATGCTTTCGTTTGGTTTATGTCTTTGAGTAAAGGAACTTCATTCTTGTCAATCCTTGTGAGTGTGCATTGTTGCAATCTGTCTGACTAGATATAATTTTTTCTCAGTGTGTATACTCTAAAAAAACCTTTATGATTCAGCTTCTCTGATGTAGTATAGTGTAGGTGGCATAATCAAGCCCTAATACTGCTGCAGGCTAACCTACTGGGAAGGCAACTGGCATAAAAAAAACCAGTTAAAATGAACCCCACAATAACTCTTTATCAAGTATGCATATAATGCTCATCTAACTAAATATCAAAACTGTCAAAAGTATTTTGAGAATTCCAAATCCTCAGAATGGATCAAACTAGTCACAGTGCTACTGAATGGATGTTTTTAATTATGTACCAAAAACAAATTGCACTCAGATTTTGAAGTCACTCTCCATTTTTCCAGTTGCCACCATCTCAACAAGAAAAATCAAGGCCATTCACACCAACAAGCTCTCTCAGCTACAACGTTCAGTCCACAAAGTTGTCTTGGAAGTTTGTCCAGGAATCACCAACAATAACACAGTCATCAACTTTAATAAGCAACAAAAGCGTCACATCAGCACAAACTCACCAAAGACCTATACCAGAGAAGAGAGAGTAGTAGATACAATGATAGTCCGAGATCAAGTCCAACAAAAGCCTCTGCAAAGCCTTATTTCCCAAATAAGGCTTTGCTCGGACCCTTAGCTCTTGCTACCATTACCCCTACTCTTATAAAAATTAGTAAAATGTCCCCGGCAGCCACAATTCCCCAAGGGAGAAATAGAAATGTATTGCGCTTCCTCCTAAGGGAATTGTGTATCACATCACACAAAGTTGTGACGGCGGGATACGAACCCACATGTACAGCTTGCGCAGACTATACATAATGGGTTCGCACCACTCAACTGACTGAGCTACCGCGGACTTAGCTGAAGTAGGTCAGTTTAACGGGTAGATCACGCGCACCCACACATCACGTGACAGCGGACTTAGCTGAAGTAGGTCAATTTAACGGGTAGATCACGCGCCCCACGCATCACGTGACACTATGCCGTGTTGATAGGAGGTAACACTACGATCAATAGTCCTCTGCCTGACCCATACCTCAAGTAATACAAGGTAGGTTCGTCTGATTTCATGTTCACTTTATCTATGTTGTATAGCTCCACGTGCCGCTATGACAATATGTCACGTTGACCTCGATGAAACAGTTTAATGTGAATCGCCTATGATCTCTTTGGTGTTCGTAATAAAGGCTTGCCGGGCTTTTTGTATCCCCTGTTCTATGTACTTTTTTTTCTCGTCCTCGCTGATAGCAGACTTACGAGACTTGGATCGAATCTCTTGTTTCATTTTGTCATATTTTGTGAGTTCAGAGAGGATTGAACGAAACTCCTCATCTGAGAACTTACTGTCAGTGAGTGCCGTGGAAATACGCTCACTTACTGTGTTCAGCTTTGCTTCGGCCAGAACCCTGATCTCATCGTGTTTCAACGCCTTACGATGCAGTCTGCGTGATGCAAATTTAAGCACCAACCCTAACACCCCTGTCACCCCAGCTGTTATTTCGAGACCTAGCACTATAGGTGCAGCCACGATGGTAGCTAACAACCCAGCACCTGCCACCCCTAGGCCCATGCTGGTTGCTATAAGGGCAGTATCAGTCCCCGTCCACGGCATTGAAAGCACTATGGTACTTCTTATATAGTGCTTTCCGCGTGTCGCGGTCTTGTTCTAGTTGGTGTTTTACATCACATAACTGCCTCAAGCGGAACCCGTCTACGGTTTCCAGGGTCTTTGCTACTTCCTCTACGACTGGGTACAGCCCCATCCTATAAACTACACTACAAAAGATATTCTAATTGGGCTTCAGTTAATAGTTGGTCAACGTACCTGAGGCTTATAAAACCTAGATTCTCGTATGTGTAGATACGGGAAGGGTCAATAGGTAACTTCTGGTCTATCTCAAAGTCAAAGCAGTTTAATATGGGGGGTAGTAATCCCTGTTGGGAGTCCCCCAATCGTATAACGAATCTGCAAGGGAAGAAATCTGGTGTGTCGGTTTCAACCCAACGTATTGTTACACCGGGTAAAAGTTGCAAGTTTGGGGATGGGTCAAAGTCGTTCGAATCAAACTTACCCTTGTAAGCGACTTCTACGATGAGTGTGGATTCTGGGGCCATAGCCCTAACCCCTACTATGGTATGATGGTGGGTGGCTATTAACTGGGACTGCCTGGATGAAATTAACAGGGTGTCCCTAGGCCAATATGAGGTGTTAGAAACTATCATCCTTCCAGTTGGAATGAAAGACGTGATCAAGATACCATTGTTCCTAATTTCAGAGACATAACCATATTTGTCTAGTGTAATATAAGGTGCGGTGGTGGTCACGTTGATCACCCATTTGGGTTCTTTTAAGACTGCCAGGTCCTGCCGTATGTACACACCGTTTTTAAATAATAGGACGTATGAGTTGTTGTTATGACCACGATTATCGAATCCCTCTATGTCTCCTAAGCCCCTGAGTGTGGGTTTGGGTAGATGATCGGCTATTGCCGCCCGCCTATACACGTTGTCTTTCAAGTGTAGGACGTATGAGCCACCTTCCTCACCAGGTTGATCGAATCCCTCCGTGTCCCCAAGGTCGTTAAGCGTAGCGTTGGGACGATGACTAGTCATTGCTATAATACTATTACGATATAATTTCCAACTGGTTTTCTGATAATAGTTCAGGGGTACACTTCACCCCCATGAAGTGTATGTTGTCGGGTAGGAAGATCTTGGTTAGTGATATAGTGTCTTCCACTATCACGGTGACACCCTGCAGACTGGTTTTGGAGTCGACACCCCACCCATTAGCGCAAACGCGTTAAAAGCGTAATACTGATGTTGTTTCCCCAACCGGAGTTTGACCCCCTTCACGATTTCGACATCATCCTGCGAAGGTTCCCCTAGGTAGACTTGGATGACCAGTGTTGAGTTCGCTGGTAGACTCTCCAGGATGGTGACCACACCTTCGAATTCAGACACCAACTGCAATACCACGTTTTGCATCCCGGGTTTACCCGATAGCATGTGGGCTGCCATACTGGCGAGTGGGCTGATGACTACGCTACGTCTCTGAGTCGGGACGTAAGCCACGAGCAGGGTTCCGTTGTTCACGACTTTGTTTAGGTGGTTGTCTTTGTTATCCGTGAACACGTAGGGGGAGCCGAGCCTAATATTGAGAAACCAGTCGACTTTATCGGGTAATAACACCCACTTGTCATCATCGGTGAAGACGAGCGTATATGGCTTGTTTCGGGCGACGGTAGTGCTCTCAACATCGGTTAAGTCGAACAGTTTGCCCCCGAACGATGGGTATATTATCCATTTATCATCCCCGGTGGTGACTAGGGTGTACTTAGTGTTGACTACCGCTCTTGTGGTATCTACTATATCACTTAGGTTGCTAGTACCATTGGAGGGGACTTCAACGCGTTTGTAAATGCTGTTTTTCAGTTGCAAAGCATACAATTTACCATCTACTCCGGGGTCGTCGAATCCGCGTGTGTCCCGAGGTCGGAGATCCCCACATTGATGCATTTTTCAACTTCATTCGGGACCGTGTCGCTGGTCATTTTATGTGCAGCGTTACGGCTGAAGGTATCCTATATTCACGGGATTATGATTTATATCTAACACCGATATTATCAGCTCAGGGATGTTGCCCTGAGTTAACCTCTTATACTGCCGAGGTGAAAACGACTCAGTTCTACCGTCGTTGTATTTCTCCGTTTTCACCAGTACGGCTCAGTATAGTGGAAGGGTGACCCCCTTGAATGTTGTCAGTTGTGCTAACCTGGCTGAGATGAATGCACAGCTCTCGGTACGGTACTAGGTCGGGTAACTTCGTGCCTGTGATGGTAGTTGTTGGTTTTACCTCGTCAGGCTGCATACCGAGTGTCCTCGCCAATGGTCGGCCGAGCCTCAAGGAGTTTCTTCCGTTGTTGATTAACACCACTGTGCCGTTTGAGTCGTTCATCTTGAGTTTGGCTCCCAGGGGTTTGAATACCTTGTCGCTTAGAGAACACACACTGTAGTAGCCGTCAGTTATCTGGTTGCGAGTGCCACCTACGAACAGTTTATTGTTGTAAGCGTTTATGTTAGTCCATCGCGGCAG